GTACCACTGTATTTAAAATAATGTATAGGCTGCTTAGCAGTGTACAATAGGAATTGCACATTAGTTCTGATTCCTGCATTGCATTCCAAATCAATGATTCGAAAAGAGATGTAAGAGGGACAGAATGTAAAATCAGTTAAAGTTAACCAAAGATAGCTCAGTTGGTTAGAACCTGGTCTGATATCACCAATCCCTGTATGGAACAGCTGCATATTCCTGCATTGCAGAGGGTTGAACTAGATGATACTCAGGGACACTCCCAGCAGACTCAGAAAGGCTTGCTTAAAATGCTTCTTGAAACAACAACAACAACAGCAACAACAACAACTTTTCAGCAAGCTCTGGAAGTTCAGTAGGGAGGAGGCCTGTCTAATCTCAGCTGGGAAGAACTTCCACAGAATTGAATCTACAGCTCCTGGTGAATATGAACTGTTTGACGGAGTCCTGGGGGACAACTCACAGTTGCTCCCTCGAAGGCCTCAGTGGCCAGGCAGAGATATAAGGAACTAGGCTGTGCTTAAGGTATCCTGGACCCAAGTTGTTAAGGACCATGTAAATTAATACAAGAAGCTTAAGCTCAGCCTGGGCTTGTGGAAGCATTTTAGCCCCAGATTTTGGTGTCAATGGTACCCTGTCCCCACCAGCATTCCAGCTGCAGGGCTTTGCACCATCTGGAGCTTCTGAACCAGGACTCCATAGAGTGCATTGGAATGGCTGAGTCTTGAGGCTGCCAAAGCATGAATCACCAATGTCATGACACAGGTGAGTGTCTTGCTGCACTTTATGTGGGAAGGACTTGACACAGAGAAGGGATTTGCTCCTAATGTACAGTTCTGCTGTGTACCACCAAAGGGTTTGCTCATCATTGCAGCAAAAAGATGCTACCTTTCCCTGCCTGATAACCCAGAGCCAGTATATCTTCATGCCCCTGGTTGAATCCTCTATGCTGCCTGCTATGAATCCTCCCTGCTCCCTCTCTCCTCCTCCTCCTCCTCCTCCTCTGCTGCTGCTTCTCAGAGCATTATTAATCTGCTCAGCTCCATCTTTGCTTCACAGCGCCCATACCATATGCAAATCTTTGTCTGTCTGCATGTGCAAACAGGAGGCTGACCAAATTGCCTGCGCCTGCAGGTCCCCATAAAAGTGACACCATTGGCAGGTTGAATGGGAGGCAGGGTGGGGAGGTTAGAAAGGAGCAGATGACTTAAAGCCTGAGGGGCATCTGTTGATAGCCTTCTCTCTAATTGTATGTTAATGAACTTTCTCTTAAAAGGTGGATTTATTGGCATGCTGAGGGTTGGGTGCTAGACATTTGCCGCTAAATCTCCAGGAGCCCCCAGGCTTTAGTCGGCTTTGCCAAGATACAGTTTTGCTAATGCCAACTGATCCTGTTTCTGAGCTGCAAAAGAAAGGACCCGCTAAAAACTGGTGCCTGGATAGATTTCCATGTCCTATGTGAGATTTTGGGGTTTAAAGCAAGGTTGAGCAGAGGAGCAGAGCATGGTGGGCACATACCGCAGAAGAGGGGGAAGTGGAGTTGCATATTGGATCAGCTGCTGTCCACATAACATTTCAAGCTCTGAGATTCTTAGAGCTGCCACCAAAGTTTGCTTAATTCCAGGTGAATTTGCAAGATCAGTTTGGAGGCCCCTGCTCAAGAGGAAAACCAAGGGGTTTTGTCAGAAGCTGAAAATATTTTGGTGGGGCTATCAGAGTTTCTTGAGGTGTTTCTCTTTTCCTTTTCTTTCACATATCTCTATTGGGGGCCCAATACTTGCTTGTCAAGACATGTTGTGGGTGTCATTGCCATTTGACTCTCACTAGAGGAGAAGTGATGGGATGCAGGTGGCACTGTGGTCTAAACCACTGAGCCTTGGGCTTGCCGATCAGAAGGTCGGCGGTTTGAATCCCCGCAACGGGGTGAGCTCCTGTTGTTCGGTTCCTGCTCCTGCCAACCTAGCAGTTCGAAAGTATGTCAAAGTGCAAGTAGATAAATAGGTACCACTCCAGCGGGAAGGTAAATGGTGTTTCCGTGCGCTGCTCTGGTTCACCAGAAGCAGCTTAGTCACGCTGGCCACATGACCCAGAAGCTGTATGCCAGCTCCCTCAGCCAATAAAGCTAGATGAGTGCCGCAACCCCAGAGTCGGCCACGACTGGACCTGATGGTCAGAGGTCCCTTTACCTTTCCCTTTAGAGAAGAAGTGACCTTAACTCATTGGTAGACCAGATAGGAAACTAGACATTCTGCATAAAGGTCCCAGGTTCAGCCCTCCCAAATCTCCAACCACGGGTTCTCACGTAGCAGGTGATAGGAAAGACCTGTACTTGAAAGAACTGTTACCAAATAGGGCAGACAATATTGGACTAGATCCACTTCTCCAACCTAGTGCCTACAGATATTTTGGACCACCAGACCCATCACCCCTTACCATTGGCCTTTCTGTCTTGGGGCTGATGGGAATTGTTGTTCAAAACATCTAGATGCCACCAGGTGTAGGAAGGTTGGGCTTGATGAACAAATAGTCTGATGTAGCTACCTATGTCTCTGAATACCAGCACTGGATGTCATCTTTGGTATCCAAGATTATGGGGCACCTTCAAGCAGTGAACAAGGCTGGTAAAATAAGAGTTGTCACCACATTTCATTCACAGCAAAAGTTTAAGATGTGGAGGAAATGACCAAAGAATGCTGAAACAAGCAAAAATGTTTTGATGAGATGTGTGAAATATTTGGGATCCTCCCAAAACAATCTATGGTAGTGTCCCAAATTCTCATCTTACTTTCTTTCTTGGTTTTGGAGTTAGGGACTATCCAGTCTTGCTTCCAAATGAGAACAGATTATTGGATTTAACAGGGTGCATTCACAATTGGACAGAGCTTTCATTTCCATTAGTTTGTCTGTATATCCCCCCTCCATCAATGATGCATATGAACACATTAATGAAACGCTGCAAAATAAGAAGTGATCTTGATATAATGGCTGATATTGCTGCAGTGTGTGTGTGTGTGTGTGTGTGTGTGTGTGTGGTGTTTTCCAAAGCCATTGAGGCACCTGTCCAAGCAGACCCACTTTGACAGCCATATTTTATTTTATTTTGAAAAAAAACACCCCACAGTTAGCAGAGCCCTGAAACACAACCCGCCCCTGCGCACACCTGATTCTTCTCAGGCATAGAAGTAGCCAAAAATGGTTAAAAGGCTGAGCAGACAGGGAGCTGACAGTCGCTCTGCAGAGGGCCACGATTGCTCCTGACAGGTTTATCAGCAGCCAAGCTTGCCTGCGATGAGATGTAAAACATGGGTTTCATTTCCAGAGCAGACACTGCTGCTAAGAAGCCGTTAGACACTTGAGCAGACAGCTTCGGAGCCAGAGTCCTTTCTAAAGGAAGTGTCACTTGCTGCACACGTTGGAGAGATGGCCCCGAGGGATGTGTCCCCCTCCTTGTATTTTCCAGCTCCAGACATGACAATACCTTCCAGGAATATAGTTGTCTAGGTCAGCTAGACATACTGCTTCCTGGAACACATGAAGCTGCCTTAATGGTCAAGTCAGACCATCGGCCCATCTAGCTCAATAATGTCTACACTGATAGGCAGTGGCTTCCCAAGATTTCAGATAGGATTCTCTCCCAAACCTATTTGGAGATACTGGGGATTGAAGCCAGGCAAATGCTCTACCACTAAGCCATGGCCCATCCTGGAAGTGGAGGCAGAATTTTTGGAGTACACAGCGAGGTGGTTCAGAATGTGGAGCTGGTCAGAAAGGGTAACATAAAAAGGTGCTTTCTACTAGATCAGATTATTTGTCTGCCTGGCACACTATTGCAGCAGAGGAAGAAAGCCCACAACCCTGGTAGTAACTCCTCCTTTGACCAATGGGTGGGGCTAGATTGGTCTCCTGCTTTATGTCTGAGCAGGGACTTGAACCCAGGGCCTCCACTCCACTAAAATAATATCTTTAGGCTCCCAGAAATATCAGATAATAGATGCCCTGGTGCTCTGCCTTGACTCTCAGGGATAGAGTATGGGCATGGATAAAGCTGTTCTCCTTCAGTCTCTTGGGGAACCATCATATTTTTTGCTCCTCAGGCTGGAGTTCAAGGGTTTGGGAAGCATTAAAATAACAAAACGCAGGCTGCATGTGAAAATGCTTCTGAGCCAGTGTGGTTCCTCAGGTCCTGCTTTAGAAGTTTGATGTGTGGGAACTGTGTTGGGAACACCATTTTGTAAAAACGCTGAAATGAAGATGTGATTGGAAAGGCTGAGTTTTGGGAGCACCAGTCACATACTCTCATTCCCATAATCTATCACCTAAATGGGTTTATAATTTGAGAATGTGTGCATACTTACTGGAACTGCTCAGAGTCAAGCAAGCTGAAAAATCCTTGGAGATATTGCATGCATTCAGAGTTCCTTGCATTCAAGGATATCCTGTAGTTGCTTTACAAGTAGCTATGGTGTGGATTTTTGTTCAACGAAACATGGGGAGTAATTGATACCTTTTTCACATACCCCCAAACTGTTATTTTTGCTCTTGGAGTAAAACCACTCCAAATAGCCTTCTGAGATTTCGCAGGATTCATGATTGCAGAAAGGGCAACCTTGCCTGAAATTTTCATCCAAAAATAAAAGGTCAATTTTGGGCTTAAAATATGTTTTTTATTAGAGATCTCAAGCCCCTGGACCTATCTATCTGTAATTAACCCTCTATGGAGGATTAACCTTCCCTGAAGGGAGATACTGTGCCCACAAATTTCATCCACTCCTGTCAAAAGGGAAAAATATGTTATATACATTTTTCCTTGGAAACTCTTTGTTCCACTTGCACTATTCTACATCTGATCTTAGCCAAAAGTCTGCTTGTTTTAGCATCCAGCCTCAGGAAGACTTCTATGAACACAGGAATGCAGGAATCTACCTTATACTGACACATCTAACTCAGTATTGTCTGCACTGACTGGCAGCAGCTCTCCAGGATCTCAGGCAGGAGTCTCTATCTGGAGATGCCAGGGATTGAACCTGGAACCTTCTTCTTGCAAGGCAGATGCTCTACCACTATGGCCCCATGTCTCCACTCTATTGCTTTCCATTGGGTCTAACTGTGGCAGTTCAAAAATATTTAGTAGCTGCAGAGCTCTGCCAATCTACTCTTTCTCTCTCTTTGTGTGCCCCTGCCTTTCTCTGACCTCATAAAACCTTGCCTTTCACAGGCCCCCTGAACAGGAGGTTGAATTGTTTCCAGGCATTTGCTTCAGCCAGCATAAAACTCTGCTGTGATTCCCCTGCACAAAGGAGCCCTCTGTCCATGGAACCAAAGGACCTGCGATGCTGAATCCTAGACAGACAAGAGTCCGCAGTCCTCTCTCTGTTGCCTTGACATGCTGGGCCCCCCATCTATGTGGTGCTTACAGGCTTGCTGGCACGTGCTCACCGCTCACAAACAGAGATGCAGGGCAAAAGGAGGAAGTGCTCTCTGTCACCAGTGAGAATAGATGGCTGAGGGTTATTATAGAACAGCATATTTCTCAAACTGTGGACTTCAACATTGCAGCAAGCATAACCCTCCAGTGTCGGGGAATAGCTACCACCAGCCACTCCAAAGAGTTTCCTTTAAGCTCTGTATCAAGTTTGGAAAGCAGGCAGGTTTGGATTTTTTTAAAAAATACAGAAGAATCCCAACCCATAAATATTCATTTCTTGCTCTTTTCACCCTCAACCTTAAGTACACTTCTCCAGATTACCATGTCAGTTTGTGATTATTATTTTTTTAATCCTCACATAAATTCACCAGCATTTTAGTACAAAATTCTATTTCTTTGTGTATTTCTTAAATTTATATGCCAAACTTCTCTGAAAGGAAACCAAGGCATCAAACACTTTTGTGATTAAAAAAGAATTGAAAAGGAAATAAAAGCATATTTAAAACACACACACACACACACACACACACACACACACAAATGAAAACAGTTAAAAACAGTAAAACATCTAAAAGAAGTTTAACCAAACCATGTGTCTGGATAGGCCCACCTAGGCATAATTTTTCAGCAGGTGTCTAAAATACAATGGTGATAGTGGCTGCTTGATGTCAATAGGCAGGGAATTCCAAAGTACAGGTGCTCCCACAGTAAATGAATGACTCCTTACAATCATGGAACAGACACTGTGTGGCATTTGCAAAAGTTTATGATAATACACACGCCTGCATGCAATTTTGCCTAACATACACATTTTTGCAAAGCAAACTCCCCATATATAATGCATTTTTGCATATCACTTCTCACTAATATGTGCATTTTTATGCACATTGCACCTGCATATATGCATTTGTTGTACATATTACTTGACTGAAAGCCTGCACTGAAAAGTTCAGAGAAGTGTGAATTTCAAAGAACGGCTTTGTTTTGTTCTCATATTGCTTCAGAAAGTGCAAATTAGGCAGATCCATCTTTAAATGTGAACTGAATCAAATTTCTTCCCTATCCAAAAGTAATAGTAATAAACTGGGAATAGAGAGAAAAGAGGTGAGAGAGGGAAGCTGTCATAAGAAGCAACTGCAAAAAGCGCAGGGATGGAGGGAGGGATGAAAGAAACTGGCAGTTTGGGTGTGTGCAGAGAGAGCATGTTAAGCATGAAAGGAGAACAGGAAGGGAAATTACAGGATATAAGTAAATTACTTTGAGAGACATGCAGACAAGAGGGAAAATATAAATTCAAAAGCCTCCTCCACTTAGAGCCTCTGGATAAGAAAATTCTGCCTAAAATGGGGAGGCTGAGCCGTGATACCTCCAGAACCAATGTCTGCACTTAACCTGAGGAAAAAATGAACTATGCAACACTGTGCCTCCATAGGGGAATGTGCTTTTCTGTCTGAAAATTGTGGCTTTGGAACAGAGAAAGACCATTGCTTGGCACGCACAAGATCCCAGTCTCAACTCTTATCCAAAGCACAATGCCTGAGATCTTCAGAAAAGGGAGAACGTGGTTTCCTATTAGATCAGCTGCTCTGATCCATGCAACATTTCAGGTTTTGAGATGTATGTTATGGCCCCTCAAGATTGCTTAATCCAATGAAAAGTTTGAGGTTGGAGGATTGTGAAAAAAGGGAATGAGAGTCAGTGAGACTAGCAGAACGACTCCAGTCATGCACACCCTTTTTTAAGAACTGCAGAAAACAGGTTTAGGCCAGCCGTGTTGAGTAGAACCCAAGTAAGTTCTACTCTGAGTGGATCCATTGAAATTAATGTACATATTGACTTCTCTGAGTAGGTCTAGCATTGGCAACAACTCATTCTGGACCTACTTCTACTGAGACCCATAGTTTAGTGGCAGAGCACATCCTCTGTATGCTAGAAGGTCCCAGGCCACACCCCACAGGTAGCTTCTGCCAGTCAGAGCAGAAAGTACTAGGCTAGATTGATCAGCAGCCTGACCCATTATAAATCAGCTACTGATGCTCATGACTTTTATAAAGGGTTTCAATTCCCTCAACCACTATATCTCAAGCAACTAAGTCCCCTTCCCTCTCTTATCTGCCCCTCTACCACAGTTGACCAACAAAAGTCATGATCTTCCAGGAGCTGGTGCACATAGCAATTAGGGCTCGAAAGGACTTGCTTCCAGAACAGAAAGACCAGCCCCTATTTCCCCCCAAAAGAAGCAGTTTGTCCTTTTGGTACAGAAAGAGAGTGTACACTTCAGAGTAATGAGAAACATCAGCCATTCACCAAGCCCCTCCATGCATGATATTTGTGGCAGCAAACATGTCCCTCACACTTGATGTGCTGAGGTGGCTCCCATGGGTTCAGGAGGATCGCTTTACAAGGTGAATTCCTCCCTCCCTGTATCTGCAGCCTTTTTCTTTCATGTTCCTTGGGATTTCCCCAGGGAACTATCTGACTTGTGACAAGAGCAGTCAGAGACAAAGAGGCTCCTTATTTCTTGCCATGGTTCAGCAAATCTGGCTTCCACCTGGAAATCACAGGGGGGATTTTTTTAAAGGCTGAAGGTGGGGGATGCAGGGTGGGGAGGCAGTAAAATAACACACTGGAAACTCACCAAATTATAAAAAATACTTTGTTGTGCTTTTTAACGTGTTTGTTCTTTTAGGAGTAGATATTTTCCCTGTTGCCTGTTGGAATGATCTTAGCAAATCCACCAGTTCTCTGACACGGCAAGGGGGTGAACGCAAGGATATCTATCCAAATGGGTGGTTGGCACTGAACTGGTGATGAGAAGTCATCATCATCATCTATTGCCCGCCTTTCACCCCAAGGTCCCAAGGCAAGTTACAACAATTAAAGAGCAACACTGAAAACAGTTTTAAACAACACAACCACAAAAATAATCTACCTCTCCCATGTTGCATACTGGGAAAGGTATTGCCTGAAAGTTGAGAGGAAGGAAAAGTTCATGTACTGTGTTTAGAAAATCCACAACATTTCATCTGAAAGAACCCCCCACACAAGCCATTTCTCCCAGGAACCAACTTCATTGAATGATAGCACTGCTTTAGGGGGGGTATCAGTGCCTCAATGACAACAGTGTCTGTTACTCCAGGGTCAGAATCATTTGCATCTCTAGCAACTGGAATGCATCCCATAGCAGCCTTCCTCAGTCTGTGTGACTAATAGTCAGGGGTGATGGGTGTTGTGGTCCAAAACAGCTGAGGGTGTCAGGTTGCAGAAGGTTGTCCTGAAGAAAGAGAGGCTGCTCTGCTTAAAAGGCCTCATCAGTTTATTTGCATACCAAATGAACAATAATAACATTTTTTTAAAAAAACAACAAAAAACCAGAGATCATCATCATGTGAATTACTGCAGAAACACCAGTTGGCAATGGCTGCAACTCCTTTCTTAGCAACCAGCAGAGGAAACTCAACATGGCACCCCTTTGTGATGTACCCACAGATTGCTCCGAAAGCAATGTTTCAGCAATTGCATGTTCATCCATATGCACCATATAACAGAGCCCTGGGATGGCCAAGTAGCCCCACTCATGTGCCTTAAAAAGCAGACGGGTATGCAGAAATAAAGCAAGGCAAACTTATATTGGCATAAATATAAAGCAACAGAGAAAAGCCAGCCCATTATATATCTCTGACTTCTGTGCAAAGCATCAGAATAGGGGCATATTTTTTTCTTTTTCTTTTTAATGCCAGCAGTCCTATTACAGGAATAATTATGTAAAAGCCCACAAGTTCCCCACACTTATCATTCAAGTTTCATCAAGCAAAAATCCCCACCCTACCTATCTGTAAAATATCCCGAGATCCTTGGATGGGAGGAACAATGTGTGTGATATCTGAGGCTGTTTCAGCTTGCCTGACTCCAAACAGCTCCTATAAATATGAACACATTCAAATTATAAACCAATTTAGATGATGGATCATGGGAATACGACTGGTGCTCTCAAAGCACGGCCTTTCCAATCACATCTTCATTTCGGTTTTTTTTTTTAGGGAAAAGAAATCATAATCTTGACATGTTTATCATTTTGAGTCTGCACCAATTATCTCCGAGGGTTTGCTCTGTAACTTAAAGATTGTGATCAGATTTTTATGGGAATCGTGGAGCCATTATTCCTCCAGCTGTACGTGAACTTGAGAAACAATTATGGAGAATGATTCTCTTTGGATTACTATTTGAGTAGATATGCTCAAGTCTATTATTATTTAAGATAAGGAACTATCTAGTTGGGTGGGTAGGGTTGTTGTTGTTTTGTTTTTGCCTCTGTAGGAAAGTAGAGACTTTGATTCATGTGCAGCAGAGGTGAGGAAACTCTTCCAGCCGCAGGGTCACATTCCCTTGTGGGCAACTTTCTGGCACTGCATGCTAGTGGTGGGTGGGGTCAGAAGCAAGACTGAGAGGAGCAACAAATAATAATAATAATAATAATAATAATAATAAATTTTATTTATATCTTGCCCTCCCCAGCCGAAGCCGGGCTTAGGGCGCCTAACAACAATAAAATAATACAACATTCTAAAATCATTTCATTATAAAATTAATTCAAATCAAATTGATGGCAACCATTGGGCTAGAGTTCTGTGAAGATTGCCAAAGGAGGGAGTC